CGCCTCAAGCACGTACAACCTCAGCTCGGCGTGGGTCCTATATAGGGCATATCCGATGATTTTTTGCATTTTACTTCACTAATGAACTACTTGCTACCTTATTGTCACTGTCTGAGCCCCATAACTCATCAAATGAACGCGGGCGCTGCCTATAAGTGCTGCACCTTGAGGATAGCACAGGTGGAGTATGAAAATGTCTTCGGATATCACCATCCTGCTATTCTACGGCCGCGCTGCCGTGCACGTTGGAGGGGGTACGTGGCACTGCAGTTGCGAACGTGAGCGGTAACTCCAGGGCTAGTGATCCTGTCTGAAGAGGGGAACCCTGGGCTCGGTATAGCAATCTGAAGGACCCTACTTCAGTGGGATGACCTTGGTCCTACTTTCGCACGATTAAACCTTCAAACGCCCTCATCTCTCAGGTATTAGTGTCGACGAATTTCTTCTTCAGTCTATCAGCTTGTTGGCATAAAGCTAACAGTTTCAGAATCGCCAATCGGCAGGCGGGAAACTCGTCCAATGCTCAAAACAAAGAGGGTCTTATGTAGGGCCTTTTCGATAGTTTCTTTCGCTTCTTTTTTCTTCACTATTGAGCAGGGCACGTCGTACGTTGTGGTTCCCCAGCTAGAGGTCCTACTTTATCGCTGTTGGGAGAGGGTCGTATTTGCTTCGTGAGAATTGTTTTTGGCTGTTGAGACTTTTCTCGGTCTTCCCGTTCAGCAGGCCTATATATTCCCCCTTCCCGCCTCCTCTTCACCGAGGGAAAAGTTGTGCATTTCGGGGAAAAATCCGGAAAACTGGTAAGAAGTTGAGAGATGGTAGGTAGGATGAGGAAGCGAGGGGAGGGTCGTTATTTGGCCAGTATTTCCTTAACGGCAAGACGTGCCCTGCTGCTAGATCAACTAGCTTCCGCGTTTTTCTTTTTAAACCTCAATACCTGAGACTTGCAGTCGCGAATAGTGTGTTTAAGGTTAGCTAGTGATCGGACCCAGTCTTGCACTTCTGTATGGTGTAACATATGTAATAGGTGAATTTTTTATTTTTCACGTGTATTAGTTTTTAAGCATTTGAAATGTTGCAAAGTTCCAAGGTATAAGGCTTGAGAAACGGCGGAACGGCGGGATATGGGGAGGTGGGAGGGGGGGGGGGGTGCAGTGTGGTTCAGGACACCGGGGTCGCTGCTTCTTGGCGTGCCTGTTGGGAGAAACCATTAATTATTTGGTTTGCAAATGGACTGGATGGATGTCTTGAAATGAGCTCATCAGAATGGGATAGTAATTAAATTTTCTTCAAAACCAATTGGGAGGCTTTTCCGAGTTCATGTTCCATCAGGTGGCTGGCACGTGAGCAAGTAGAAATCGACAAGGGAGTGGAGGTACCGGCTCCCAATCACCACTTTCTATCAGTGAAACCTTTTATCAGTGAGAGGAAATGATTAACGTCTTCGAATTCGCTAACATATGGTTCGGCCATTAATAATCGCATTTTCTTCATGTTCATCCTTGTAGAAAGTGAGGTCTGTCGCCGACGCACTTTATATTATGTCATAGAGAATTTCGAGCATTGTATACCCTCCACTGCTCCGGTCTTCAATATTTGGACCAAGTTTGGAACGAAATTTCT